TCTATTTTATATATAAATTAAAAATTTGACATCTAATTTGTATATTTTTGTATTATATTGGGTAAATAAATCAAAATTAACTATATATTTCTAAATTTGGCATTTTTTAGTAAATAAATTTCTAAATTTGGCATTTTTTAGTAAAAAGTTAATATCTTATACTATTCTCACTTAAATTTGGCACTTTTTTAATAATAAAATAAAATTAAATATTTTAGACTGTCCGGTACTGTATATGTATTTATTTTATTTTTATTTTTTTTTTTTATAGGATAGTGTGTATATATATATATTTTGTTAATTGTAAACTGAAAACATAGGTCTAGTGGTGTGTATAAGCTTAGTAAGGTTGATTTCAATTCACTCTTTTATTATTATTGTCATTATTCTTTTGCTATTACTACTATCTCTTTTCCTTTGTTTTCTTATCATTTTTTTATCTTTTTTTTTTTTGTGGTTAAGCTTCTGTCAGATACTGTTGTGTAGTATAAATATTGATCTTGCACTCTGTTTTGTGTCAATTGTTATGTCTTGCTTGTTTGTTTATTTTTTCCTGTCTTGCTATCAAATTTTCATTGTGTCACTTCCTTCTTTTTTTTTTTTGTCAGCTTGAGAATTTAATTATAGAAGTTTTTATTATTATTATTATTATTTTATATATATAATTAAGTTGACTTCTTTTCAAGCTGTTGTAGAAGGCTTAATTGTTGTATATCTTGGTTAAAATAGACACAATTGTTGCTAGATGGTTTCAAATGCATCTGTAAAATGATTTAGAGTTCTATCTGCCAATCTTCTAAATTAAAACTAGTGGTATGCCATGTATTACTAGTTCAGTAGTATCTTTAGCCTAAAAACTATAACCAGTAACATCCTCATAAAGAGAAGTTGTTTTAGTTTTGTTATAAACTATTGTTTTGTTACCCATATACTATCAGGTTTTGTAAAAAGCATAGCACTATTCTTGGTATAGTTTGTTTGGATATGCATCTGTATATATGCCTTGAAAGTATATATGGGGTATAATATGTTATTAGTAGAGTTTATTATTAAAGAGACATAGTTTGCTGTCTTATAGTTCTTTGTTTTGACTAGCTATATAGTTACAAAGGTATAGTTGTTTGTTTTGTCAAATATCAATACTTTTAGTATTAGGATTTTCTTGTCATCAAATCGATTGTTAGATAAGAGTTCTCTGAGATGTGTAATTTTATTTTCAATTGTCTGATTTCCTTTAATTGTCTAATTTAAACAACTTTTAATTATCCAATTTGCATAACCTTTAATTGTCTAATTCATGTAATTTTTAATTATCTAATTCGTACAATCTTTAATTGTCTAATTTGTGTAATTTTTAATTATCTAATTCATGCAATCTTTACTTGTCTAATTTATGCAATCTTTAATTGTATAATTGTCCAGTTCACATAATTCTTATACTATATCTAATTATTAAATTAGTATGATTTTTGTATCTGTAAATTTAAATATATAATAATATTTTTATAATTTATTTTAGCTCACAATTTATTATTAAATATTATTGTCTTTAGTAGTATAAAATAACATTCAAATATTGAGAAATAAATACTATTTATCTCAAAAAACTATGTATTAAAAAAACCACATACTTAGATGAATTCAAACTAAAAAATTTGCTATATTAATTGCTATGTCAAAATTTTTTAAAAAAATATCTTCAAATGATATAACTAACTGCTAATTGTAAGAAAATCAAAAAACTTAAAAAATTTGCAGATATACTCCAATGTCTTGATGAAGATTTTGATAGCATTCTAGAATTTATATATAATATTAAAAAAGAAAATAAGTCAGAACCTCCAAAATTTAATAAACAGCCTATTGAATTTATTAATAGCTTAGATGATAATGAAAAAGATGATATAATAAAATTGCTAAAAATATGAGATATCTGTAAGACAAAATAAAAGAAAAATCATATCTCAATATTTATAGCAAAAATTGATTAAAGTAATTTCTAACTCCCTTTATCAGCTACAAGCAAGTTATTCTACTTTAAAGAAGAGCATGATCATCTGTGGTATCAAACCAAAAAATTAATTTAACAAAATGAAACCTTTATTATATCAACAAAATTATCTGAGTTTCAAAATTAACATTTTTAACAAAAAACATTCTGTCAAATTTCTGAAATATAATTCTTAGTCTGTAGATCTAAAAATATTTCTTCAAAAATTTTTAAAAAAACAAGTTAAAGCAAGTTAAAGCTTTTTTTAAATCAAATAACTAATACTACTCTTTGAATATAATTTGGTTTATAGCTAAATTAGCACAAGCCAAACAGGTTTTAATACAGGCAACTATAGAATACACAAAATTAATATATGAGTTTTTAACAGATGAAGTACTAAAAAGTTGGCTTTCAATAGAATGAGTTACTACCTGATATAAACAAATATCAGAATTAGCTATTTTTAATTTAGTCAAATATACTCAACAAACAAGTACTTTCAGTATTTCTGCTAACAAATCAACCTGTAGTTAAGACAAAAATTTAATTGTCTGTTTTATATATTGAGATAAGGTACAAAATTATTCAATAGCAAGTATAATTAGTTTAAAAATTATAAAAAAGTGCAATTCTAATACTATAGTAAATTCAGTTATTAAAACTTGTTAAAAATATTAACTTAATACACAAAAATATATAATATAGCTTACCAACAATACTGTATATATATTTAGAAATGTGAATGGAGCTATTGTTAAATTTAATAGATCAATGAATTCTAATTCAACTAGAATTGGTTATATATTACATATTATTAATATTATATTTACTAATTTTAAAAATAAAGTCTTCAGATATATATCTGATTTTTAAGAAAGTATTATTCTTTCAATCTTCTATACTTTGCTTAGTTTCTCCACGATAGCTATGAAAACAGAAATAGTAATGTATTAATGAATATAAAGTTTAATTATATTCAAGCTCTTTATAAATTACTTATTTGGTATTGCTACTTACAATATCAAATATCATTACAAATATATTAGAGATATAAATTGCATATAGTCAAACAATATTTAAAGAGAAAGGAATCATATTTTAAGTTTACAGAATGGTTTATTAAACCATTGAAATCTTATTCTAATACAGCACAGTCTTATTTGAATAATTAATATCTTTTCTATATCTAGCTAAACAACAAAAAGCTTAATATTCAAATAAATACTTAATGATATTTGGTCAATATTTTTTCACTCTATTAATAATATTTCTTGTTAGTCAAGATCCTATGCTATAAATATTTAACAGCAAAGACTAGATAAACCTACCTCCTAGTTGATATGCCTATAAGATGCCTGACAAAATCTTCAAATAGTTAGACTTTCTAACAGACGTCACAAATAATTTTGATATTTTTTTCTAAAGAATTACTTGAGATATTTGAATTGTTAAATGAATCAGAATTTGATAAAATACTTAATTCGTTAGAAAAGGGTATAAAAAAGCAATTATATATTTTAAAAATAGATGCTTTAATAGTTAAAATTATTTTATTAGTTTGACGACTAGAAGAAAATTATGTATAATCATTTACTAGAAATTATTGTCATATTATTTTAAATATTATAATAGTTCTTCAGCTATCTAATTAAGAGATAACATATGGAAGAAGTCAATAGAAAAGGGACAAATTATTTTTAGTAAAATTTTTTAAATTTTTAAATTAAAATATCTTAATTTGATAAAATTTTTTTTATTTTAATCTTAAAATTATATAGAATTAAAATAAAAAAAAAATTATCAAGTTTGATTAGATAGTTGTTGAAATATTTAAATTTAAAGTTAAGAAAACTTTTACTTAAAAAAAATTTGTCCCTTTTCTATTAACTTCTCCCATATATAAAACAACTTCAAGATGATGTTAAAAATAATATTTTAGAAGATTTTGAGTTAAAAATATTATTTGTTTCAGATTTAACTTTTTATGAACAATTTAATAATTTTTGTAATATATTAAATTCTAGTTTATTCA